CTTTTGGGGGTCTCTGATGTCACTTTTGGGGTCCCTGATGCCATTTTTGTGGTCTCTGATGTCACTTTTGGGGTCTCTCATTCCATTTTCGGGGTCTCTGCTGCCATTTTCGGGGTCTCTGAGGTCATTTTTCGAGTGTCTGATGTCATTTTCGGGGTTCCTGATGTCACTTTTGGGGTCTTTCATTCCACTTTTGGGGTCTCTGATGTCACTTTTGGGGTCTCATTCCATTTTCGGGGTCTCTCATTCCATTTTTGGGGTCCCTGATGCCCCTTTCGGGGTCTCTGATTCCATTTTGGGGTCTCTGATTCCATTTTGGGGTCTCTGATTCCATTTTCGGGGTCCCTGATGCCATTTTTGGGGTCTCTGATGTCATTTTCGGGGTCTCCCATTCCATTTTCGGGGTCTCTCATTGCATTTTGGGGTCTCCCATTCCATTTTTGGGGTCTCCCATTCCATTTTTGGGGTCTCCCATTCCATTTTTGGGGTCTCTCATTCCATTTTCGGGGTCCCTGATTCCACTTTCGGGGTCTCTTGATGCCCCTTTCGGGGTCCCTGATTCCATTTTCGGGGTCTCTCATTCCATTTTCGGGGTCCATGATGCCATTTTCGGGGTCCCTCATTCCATTTTCGGGGTCCCTGATGCCATTTTGGGGTCTCCCATTCCATTTTGGGGTCTCTCATTCCATTTTCGGGGTCCCTCATTCCATTTTGGGGTCTCCCATTCCATTTTTGGGGTCTCTCATTCCATTTTCGGGGTCCCTGATGCCATTTTGGGGTCTCTCATTCCATTTTTGGGGTCCCTCATTCCATTTTGGGGTCTCCCATTCCATTTTTGGGGTCTCTGATGCCATTTTCGGGGTCCCTGATGCCATTTTTGGGGTCTCTCATTGCATTTTGGGGTCTCCCATTCCATTTTTGGGGTCTCTCATTCCATTTTGGGGTCTCCCATTCCATTTTGGGGTCCCTCATTCCATTTTTGGGGTCTCCCATTCCATTTTTGGGGTGTCCTGTTGCCTTTGGTGGCCCCGGTGACAGCGTCCCTGTCATTGCAGGACCGGCGACGGGAGCGAGTTCCTGCTGCANCATTCCATTTCGGGGTCTCTGATTCCATTTCGGGGTCTCTGATGCCATTTTGGGGTCCCTGATGCCATTTTCGGGGTCTCTCATTCCATTTTGGGGTCTCTGATGCCATTTCGGGGTCTCTGATTCCATTTTGGGGTCTCTCATTCCATTTTCGGGGTCTCTGATTCCATTTCGGGGTCTCTGATTCCATTTTGGGGTCCCTGATGCCATTTTCGGGGTCTCTCATTCCATTTTGGGGTCCCTGATGCCATTTTGGGGTCTCTGATTCCATTTTGGGGTCTCTCATTCCATTTTTGGGGTCTCCCATTCCATTTTCGGGGTCTCTCATTCCATTTTGGGGTCTCCCATTCCATTTCTGGGATCTCTCATTCCATTTTTGGGGTCTCTCATTCCATTTTGGGGTCTCTGATTCCATTTTGGGGTCCCTGATTCCATTTTTGGGGTCCCTGATGCCATTTTGGGGTCTCTGATTCCATTTTTGGGGTCCCTGATGCCATTTTGGGGTCTCCCATTCCATTTTTGGGGTCTCCCATTCCATTTTCGGGGTCCCTCATTCCATTTTCGGGGTCCCTCATTCCATTTTGGGGTCTCTCATTCCATTTTTGGGGTCTCCCATTCCATTTTTGGGGTCTCTCATTCCATTTTCGGGGTCCCTGATGCCATTTTGGGGTCTCTGATTCCATTTTCGGGGTCTCTCATTGCATTTTGGGGTCTCCCATTCCATTTTTGGGGTCTCTCATTCCATTTTTGGGGTCTCTCATTCCATTTTGGGGTCTCTGATGCCATTTTCGGGGTCTCTGATGTCACTTTTGGGGTCTCTCATTCCATTTTTGGGGTCCCTGATGTCATTTTCGGGGTCCCTGATTCCATTTTCGGGGTCTCTCATTCCATTTTGGGGTCTCCCATTCCATTTTCGGGGTCTCCCATTCCATTTTCGGGGTCTCTCATTCCATTTTCGGGGTCTCCCATTCCATTTTGGGATCTCTCATTCCATTTTTGGGGTCTCCCATTCCATTTTCGGGGTCCCTCATTCCATTTTGGGGTCCCTCATTCCATTTTTGGGGTGTCCTGTTGCCTTTGGTGGCCCCGGTGACAGCGTCCCTGTCATTGCAGGACCGGCGACGGGAGCGAGTTCCTGCTGCAGGCCAAGGACGAGGTGCGGCTTCGGG